CTGGTTCAACCTCCAACGTTATGCTCTCTCAGCTTTTTCTCATAATAGCTTTGCCTCGTCTGTTCCTGTTTCGCTGTGACACCATCCTGGAGAGAAATATCAGCTGTGCTGCTGCCATCAACACCTTTGTTTATAGATGTTTGAGATTTGCCTGTTTTCTAGTGTTGTCCTGTTTCTTTGACTGTGGCTCGCTGGATGTGCTCTCTTCATCCTCTGACATGGGAGCTGGCTCGGAGCTTGTCTGTCTGGCTGTGTGTTTCCTGGATAGGGCCGCCTTTTTACTGTTGTTTTTTGTATCTCTGCTTCTGTCTCCTTGAACCCCAGTTGGCCTCAGCAGATGGCCGCTCACACTGAGCCTGGTTCTGCTGGAGGTTTCTTCCTGTCAAAAGGGAGTTTTTCCTCTCGACTGTCACTACAAGAATGCTTAGTGTGAGGGATTGCCTTTGAGTCAATAAGTCGATGTTTTCCTTAGATAGAAAACTTTAAATTAGTTTGACTGTATGACCTGGTTGAACTGTAAAGTGCCTTGAGATGACATGTGTTGTGAATTGACGCTATATTAATAAACTGAATTGAAATTACTAGAGCAGAGGCTGATGACATTTCATGAGTACATGAGCACATGAGAAAGCACAAGTACACATATTGAGAAACTCCCCTAGTCTTAACCCCACACTGCTCCCCAGGCGCCACACGATGGCAGCCCACTGCTCCTAGAGGGGATGGTTTAATTCAGAGGTAAATTTCTCCAATGTGAGAACAATAAAGTTCAATTGTTGTTGTTATTATTATTATTATTATTATTATTATTATTATTATTATTAAGGATGTGTGAAGTAAAATACAAATAATAAAAAGATGGTTAAAATGTAATAAATTTGCAGAGAATGCAATTTCTTAAACAGGTGACTTTTGAGTCTTGATCTAAGCAGAAGAACAAAGTCAATATTACAGATGTCTGGTGGGTGGGTTTCCCGTATTTGGGAAACGTAGCGACTTCTCATGGTGCTGAGAATAGTGAATGGCATGATGAGGTGAATGAAGGTGAAACACCTAAGAGAACGGATTGGGGGGTTGAGATCTGACAGAAATAAATGTGGTGAGGCTATAAAATGCTTAGAACATGTGTGTGAAAGAAAACATCTCTTCTTTATTAAGGAAACTGTCAGAGGATAGGGGGGGACATAGTTGAAAGACAGTTCAATAATGATGACTGTGGAATTTTGAAGCATTGGACCCTTTGGGAAGATTTTTTTTTTTTTTAACAGAGCCAAACGGTGAGCTGTGAGAATATCTAGGGGACTTTAAACTGGGTTTATCTGCAGAAATCCCCTCAAACATTAAATGCGGAAAGAGAGAAAATAGGAAAAATTTTCAGGGTGGGACAGTCATAGATTACTAACACTAACTTTGATGTACCTTATATTTTCTCTCTCTTAGCAAACAATGTTTGGGAGATATCTTCTGTTTGTTGCTTATAAAAAGGTCATGTATGTTCATTAGGTTAAATTAAATCCCCCTTTTTTCAGAAAACAATGATCATAGGGTTTAACAAATATGCCAATTTATTAAAACTCTCTATTCTTAGTATTATATTTAAAAAATGTATGCATGTTAAGGGTAACATACAAATGTAATGCACAGGAACAAAATACTAGACAAGGCAATATTTTGCACTAATAAAAATATTATTTTAATCAGATTATTCTATTACTTTCATATTTTTATTTGTAAGTAAAATAAAAAAAGAGTTATTGCTTTATTAAAACATAAAATGAGTTTGGCACTAATCAGTGATCATCTATTGTGGGTTTTTTTTATTAGACTATAATGGTTGTATTGTTATAATCTTTTAAAATATCTAAATATAATAGAGTAAAGAGAAAAATCTGTGACTGTAAGAATAAAGCAGCTGTTTAAATGCCTGACTATGTAGGTATGACCATAATTGTTGTCCTAAAATAATTCTGGGCTGATATTACTTACAGAAAACACTTGTAAATTAAAGACAGCAACACAACCTCTGCTTCATATTTTTTATTAGCCGTTGTATACCTTCTGTTTGAAAGCTGCTGCAGAGAGCGAAGCTCTAGAGAAAGAGAGAAATTAGTTAAAACCAAAAGGATTTTTCTCACCTGGATGCTCTTGATCCCAGCTTTGCAGTAGTAGCGCTTAATGTCCACATCAATCTCAGTATTCCCAACAAAGCTGCGAAGCAGGAGAAAAACGTCAGGTATCCATCACTTTTTAAACGTTTTGTTAAGATCTTGATTTATTTACTCTAAGCTTTTTCAACTCTAAGGATTTTCAAACACTGAAGCTATGAATCAAAGCCACAACCACTCAAGAAAACTCACAGATTATCATTTCATCTTGTTTTGACCTTATAAACCTAATATAATCAGGTTTGCCTGATGGTCTAGTACCAAAAGACTGCAAAATAAATGTCTTTTTATGCAAGTTGGACAGTGTGCTTAAGTCCCCTTTAAATTTTGAAATGAAAATGACAAAAATACAGTTGCTGCTAAACTCAGTTTCATCATTTAGAGTAACTGCTATTATACCAACTAAGCATCACATGGACCACACAGTGTAGCTTAAAAGTAATGAGGTGATCAGTTCCTTGAGCAAACTAATTTTAATCAGTCTATCTTGCTTTTCTTTATCGTATTCAAAACATCCTCTGAAAGTTCTAAAACAGAAAATGAACTTTTCTATATTAAAAAACTATATAGGGCATTGATCAAAGGTGTCAAATGTATTTATCTTTATTGCTCAAGTAGAAGTATAAATCTTACAGTTAATTTTTTTTTGTAGATGTTTTTGCATAAAGATATGGAAGTAGAGCTAAGTGATAATCGATTTTCTGGTTAGAAAGATTTAATGATTCAAATCTGGATTTTTTTTTCAGCTGATGCTCTTCTTTGGGCTTCTATAGCTTTGAATGTGTTCAGTTCATCACATTTTTTTTGTCTTTTCATGAGTAATAAACTTCCTCACTGTTTAATACCACTAGCTGCAAACATTTAGTGTGCTGTATTTTCATTGTTTCCATTCAACATGATTGCTTTTCAGCCATGTTTTACAGCTCGAATTTCATGGCTCTTTAAATTAAGGTCATCTCTCAGAAGGGATGACTGAAATAGAAGCAGTTTTTTGAGGGTAAGTTGTGATTTTTTATCATGGAACTTAAGGGAGAAAAAAATGGGAGATACATTTTTTAATACTACAACTATTAGAAATCTGATACCTCTAGAACTCCTACTGGCGTCACTTTGATAGGAGACGTTCTGCCCAAAGGAAGGCAAGATTAGTGATGATGGCATCGGCTAAAGTGGTTCTAGTGTTTTATATCAGCAAATTATGAATATGTAGACCTAATATTACAGTCTAAAAACAGAATTTGATCACAGCCTGATATATATGCCATCATTATTTATAGTCTAAGATTACATTAAAGATAAAACTGTCAAATCTAAGATCACTGACTGCTACCGGCTAACTTGCCTCTTTATAACAATATGTACTGGTCTCTTACTAAGCAGCTGTTAGTCAAACAACGACTTTTCTAGCTTGTATTGTATTTTAAGGAGTAGAAAATGAGAGTTTTAATCAGAATTAAATTCACCTTTAATGACCCAGTTTATGAGCAAAACAAGTTAGTCTTAGAAATATTTCACCCAAATTCATATAAATTACATAAAAAAATTTCAATTAATTTTTTTTTTAAAATCATTTTAACACAAACCTATTAAATAAAGCTTCCATGATCCATATTCATTTTATCATAAAGCCTGTTTATTTGAAATACATAATCATCGGGTTTCTGTATTTAGTAATAATAAAGTATACTTACTCAAAAACTAATACTAATGAGTGTATTCATTTCAAATGAATAGTTTATGGTTTGAATTGTATAAAGGTAACCTGATTATTATGCAATTAAAAAAAATAATAACTTTATATATTTGAAATAAACACAATTCGTAAATTATTTTGAGTAAAAAATACTTCTACTTCTGATTACATAAACCTGACAGTAGTGTATTTTAAATAAATAGGCCGCATAAAGAATCATCTATGGTAATGTTTATTTAATAGGTTTGTTTTTAAATTATCTAAAAAATTGAAATATTTTTGTCTATTTCACTTTGGCATTCCTTTGCTCACATCATAATTAACAGACAAAAAACGACCCATGGTTATGAGAAGAGTAGTATCCACTGTATTGACTCACCTGATCTGCAGGTCCATGATGATCTGCCTATCCACATTTTCTGTATAAACCTTGACCCCATTAATCCTGAGTGGCTAGAAAGTAACCAAGAGAACCATTATCAGAATCAGAAATACTTGTAATAATCCCAGAGGGAAATTACTTTTGTTACATGCTCAAGTTACAGTTTTATGTGATATATATACACACATCCAACTACACAATATAATAAAGATAAAAATAAGAAAAAAAAGAGATAAAATATATATACATATAGCTCTTCTGTATATATATATATGTACGTATATATATATGCATATGTAAAAAATAAATCCAAATAAAGTGAATATCCAACTAGAGTGATAAATCCAAATAAAGTGATACGTGGCTTGCAAAAATAGTGCATAAATGTCAATTGGGGGGGGGGGGTTCTGAATGACTTGAGGGAGGCGTTATAGAGGTTGATGACCACCACAGGTAGGAATGATTTCCTGTGGCGCTCTGTGGTGCATCTGGGTAAAAGGAGTCTTCTGCTGAAGGAGCTCGTCTTCTGGACCAGTGTGTCGTGGAGAGGATGTGAGTAATTGTCTAAGATGGACTGAAACCTGGACAGCATCCTCCTCTCTGCCACGGTGGTCAGGGTGTCCAGCTCCTCTCCCACAACATCAACGGCCCTCCTGATCAGTTTGTTCAGTCTGTTGTTTTCAGCGACCCTCAGCCCACTGCCCCAGCATGTGACAGCAAAGAAGAACATGCTAGCAACAACAGACTCATAAAACATCCTCAGCATCTTTAAAGGACTTCAGCCTCCTCAGGAAAAATAGTCGGCTTTGGCCCTTTTTGTAGACCGCCTCGGTGTTTCTAGTCCAGTCCAACTTATTGTTAAAGTACACTCCAATTATGAGAACCACATCACTCCAGCTGATTAACACTATGACAAGACCCCCCTCAACTCTCACACGCTTGGCACAAGGTCAGCCTGTTTTCCAACTCCCCACCCACCCATCAGTGGAAACTATTTGTGACACTGACCTCCCTGTCATGTATTTTCATGTTCCAGTTAGAACCTCCCCCACTGTGAGACAGCACCTGTTGACAGCGACCTGTTTTGAATCCACTGTCACTTTATTTTACACTCACTGTATTTCCTATGTCGATCTTGCTGAAGCAGAAGGTGCTTAGATGGGCGTGGCACTCCTTCACCGCCGGCTCAATTGTCTCACGGAACAGTTTTTCCACGAACTGGGAGATGTACGGCCACATCTGTCTCACAGTCTGAAGGGAAATATACACAGGAATTGCTTTAAAAGCAAGATTACACATGTTTTTTGTATACATTGCTGCAATGGCTGTGCTGAGATGGACATATGGGTTAAAAATATTAAAAATATATTTCTATTTTAAGGAGACATGGTCAAATTATTCTCATCAACGTGGATTTCAGAGCATGCAATTCGTATTCTCAATCAAAAGCCCTTCGCTATTTCAATATCTAATCATGCTTGACTCTGAATGTACATTTCGGTGGTTGCCTTGGCAACTCACAAAGGTTACTGCATGCTGTTCACAGTGGTCTAGGGTAAAAAAAATCCTCCACATTTTTAGTGAAATTTGCTGCAGTGTGAAAGATCAAATAGGGAGAGGAAATGGTGGTGAGGTAACTTGCACTCCATTCAGCCATCTTCATAAAGAAAATTAAAAGGGAGGATTCCCTAAAGCTAAGAAAACAAACAATAAAGCCTCTCATTCATTTTACCTTGTTTAACCACTCCACACGCTCTACATCTGGGAAGTGAACCTACAATAAGAAAAAATGAAAGAAATAATAATTTTAGGACACACTAAGATTAAATGTTAGAGATACGCAGAAAGGTCATTTGCTGACCAGAATCAACATTTATAGTGTTTTTTTTTTTTTGCTTTATTGCATTTATAGCATATTATTACATGGAATTAAATAGGGGAGTGTTGGCCTATGGGTTAAAGCAGGGTGCTTGTGCTCTGAGAAGGTTGCAAGTAGCCAGTTCCATCGCCACAGCCTGCACTCTGGGTCCCTGAGCAAAACCTTAACCCCACACTGCTCCCCGGGCGCCACACAATGGCAGCCCACTGCTCCCCAAGGGATGGGTAAAATTACAGAGAACAAATATCCCCATTGTGGGACAATAAAGGGATTTACATTGACATTTATTGGGATTGGCGTATCAGGGTCTATATCATGTGCTAAAGCTACTATATCGCAATAAAGAGACAAAGTTCTTCAGCGTGGAAGTTGTAACCGAGGGAGATTAAAGTCAGATTTAGCTGGAAATTGTTTGAAAATTGAAGAAAGGAAACAAAAAAAGCTGTCAGAAGGTATCAGAAAGAAACCCATGCTATCTAAGGAGGCATGGGAGCAGCTTTTTAGAGTCGCCATAACAAAGAGTTACTCTTAGGAAGGGTTTTGCCATTTCAACCAGCTTCCCTTTTGTTCCTTTAACTTTAGTAATTTTATGGTTAACTTCTGGAAATTTCAGAGTGAAAACAAGATGAACAACATTTTCTTGGGAATATAAAAAGAAACTGCTGTTCAAGGTTAGCAAAGCCAATCAAGCTATTCACTGATACAAGAAACTAATGGTGCAGACTGCAAACCGATACTTATCAAAAGAATGGATGAATGGAAAGGTTTGGATCCTTCAGGCATTCAACAAATTAAAATTTACAGTGATGTTTACTGAGCTTTACAACTCAAACTCCTTTCATTTTTTCTTTAGGCCTCTGAGTTCATTGGCCAAGCTCTGCAATCTAGATTAAAAAAATAATGCAGTTTTGTTTTAGACCTTATCAGGATCTTTAGGTTCCGCTGTCTTACTGAAAAATATTCAAGCTTCCTCATTCCGCTTTTGTTTTACTTTCTGTTTTTCACCATGCAACACTTCATCAATCACTGCTTTTTTAAGCACATCTCTGAATTGCACTGATTTACTCACTAACATATTTAGTGACATTATTTGAGTTAGACTGTCTGAAAAATCAGTTTGAGATTTTTTTTATGTTTTAGAACCAAAAAATGGGCTTAATTGATGCGAGTGGCTTCCAAATTAGATTTATCATGTGATGCAGCTGAAGGAAGAGAAAGAGCTATTTCTCATGACAATCATTTCAAAGTACAGACAGTGAAGTGCACAGCAATGGGAGCAAGTTTCAGTTGATAATAACAGGCATATAGTGATTAATAGCAACAAGACTGTATGGTAGAGGCCTTCAAGGATGGAAATACTTTTTTTATCTAAACACAATCTCACCGAGGTGATGCCGTCTTATAAAGAAATTTTTTCAAACTTTGTCTACCACTGATCTGTATTCATTAACCAAGGTTCATTTCTAGGACTTCTCTTTTGGAGTCAGAGATGTTATGAAATGATCTGACATCTCTAACACAATTCTATTTTTATATCTAAAGCAGCTTTGGCGTTGGTTTGGATTACGGGTGGAACGGT